ACCAGTGGCGTCACACCAGTGACTTCACACCAGTGGCGTTACACCAGTGGCGTTACACCAGTGACTTCACACCAGTGGCGTCACACCAAGTGGCGTTACACCAATGGCGTTACACCAGTGACGTTACACCAGTGACGTGACACCAGTGGCGTTACACCAGTGACGTGACACCAGTGGTGTTACACCAGTGACGTTACACCAGTGGCGTCACACCAGTGACGTCACACCAGTGACGTTACACCAGTGACGTGACACCAGTGACGTTACACCAGTGACGTGACACCAGTGGCGTTACACCAGTGACGTTACACCAGTGGCGTTACACCAGTGACGTTACAGTTGTGACGTTACACCAGTGGTGTTACACCAGTGACGTTACACCAGTGACGTGACACCAGTGGTGTTACACCAGTGACGTTACACCAGTGACGTGACACCAGTGACGTTACACCAGTGGCGTTACACCAGTGACGTGACACCAGTGGCGTTACACCAGTGGCGTTACACCAGTGACTTCACACCAGTGGCGTCACACCAAGTGGCGTTACACCAATGGCGTTACACCAGTGGCGTTACACCAGTGACGTGACACCAGTGGCGTTACACCAGTGACATTACACCAGTGACGTGACACCAGTGGTGTTACACCAGTGACGTTACACCAGTGACGTGACACCAGTGGTGTTACACCAGTGACGTTACACCAGTGGCGTCACACCAGTGACGTTACAGCAGTGACGTCAACCAGTGACGTTACACCAGTGACGTTACACCAGTGATGTGACACCAGTGGCGTCACACCAGTGGCCTTACACCAGTGACGTGACACCAGTGATGTTACACCAGTGATGTTACACCAATGGCGTTACACCAGTGGCGTTACAACAGTGATGTTACACCAGTGACGTTACACCAGTGACGTTACAGTTGTGACGTTACACCAGTGACGTTACACCAGTGACGTGACACCAGTGGCGTTACACCAGTGACGTTACACCAGTGGCGTTACACCAGTGACGTTACACCAGTGACGTGACACCAGTGATGTGACACCAGTGGTGTTACACCAGTGACGTCAACCAGTGACGTTACACCAGTGACGTTACAGTTGTGACGTTACACCAGTGACGTTACAGTTGTGACGTTACACCAGTGACGTTACACCAGTGACGTTACACCAGTGACGTTACACCAGTGACGTTACAGTTGTGACGTTACACCAGTGACGTTACACCAGTGACGTTACACCAGTGATGTGACACCAGTGACGTTACACCAGTGACGTTACACCAGTGACGTTACACCAGTGACGTTACACCAGTGATACAACTCGAATTAAATTCGGAAATGTTACACCCTAAGTTTGCGATGCATCCATCGCACAGGTAAACTAAGTGTACAATAACAGAGCTTGTGAATTTTAAGCATTATATCATGCCACATGCAGCAGCTCTTTCTCAATGCACAGCCGCATGAAGTCCTCCCCACACCGTGTCTGCCATAGGGATTGTTTTACTATACTTCACCGCACTGGTCAATGTGAAGTTGGGGGTTGGCGGTTGGGGGGGGGCTTGGGCCCTTGGGTTGGTTGAAATATCACTCGTCACAAACGATATTCATCGTGGCCAAGTATTGCCTGGCGAAGGTCGCCGCGTGGGTAGTGCACTGCAGCCGTGGGTAGTGCACTGCACTACCCACGGCTGCCTCCAGGCCGACGCAACTCAGTGGTCCTTTGAGTTGCGTAATTTCCTTTTGACAGAATGCGGCATTCGGCGCGGAGGTTGTGTCGGATGTACCCTTGGGAACATGTACAGATAATTTAGGATTTATCAACTTGGGGACGTTGTTTTCGGTTCCCCCCCACCCCCTCCAAATAATTACACAATGAATAACCAATTGAATGAGATCATTCGGTATCTGCACTGTTCTTGTAGCACAAAGGCTATCTCGAAAGCACTAGTTACGATTCACACACCTGGCATGGTACACGGCGTCTCAAGTGGGGAGCACTCGAGGTGCAGGAGCAGTCCGTGGCGAGATTCACTCTCAATTTCTGGGCACGCACGATGACAGAACAGATTGTGTGCGGCAGCGCCACAGTCCCCCGTCAAACAAAGATGTTAACCGTGTCTCTGTTTTGGTTACGCATATTAAAATCCCTTCTTGAGGCCCTCAGTAGTAATTGAGTGATGGTGTAAGGATGTCAATCCAGCGAATCGTGACCGTCCGAGTGTGCTTTTGGTGTGGTGTACAATGCACGCTCGAAGGTAGCTTTTTTTTTACAAGCTTTTTATTAACTCACTCTTTCTTTTGTATCCTCAAATCTTGTAACTCAATTTTTACCCACTTCCCAATGTGGTATCGACTGCAAACTTGGTATACTTATGTCATACTGATGACAATACTATATTCTATCATAAAAATTAAACACATTTTAAAACATTATTTTTATGTTATGTTTCGGCTTGGGTCTAATTGTCCACGCTCAACTGACGTTGGCTGTAAATCACCACGGTCCCCTTACGTTATGGCAAGCTTCGGGGCCATTACTAGTACAGTACATTTCATTAAAGCGTGTTTTTAGAAAAAAATATTACTTATTTTTGTAGCGACTTGTCGCCATGTCATCCCACTGGCCGCTTTCCTCTGTGCCAGGCAAGAAGAGTTGTGGACTCTTGAGTCGTGCGAGCTCGGTCTAACGTTCGAGTACAATGGTCACCAGCACTGACTTTACGGCTGTCTGAGTTCACAATAAAATGCCTCGCTCACACACTCGCTCAATCAAACAAGCTGCCAGGCTGCTGCATTGAGGGAGCCCTTTGCTTCTGTCATGGGATTTTGACAGCGCAAAGAAATGCTGTGCGCAGAAATGCGTCGGTGCCCAAACTGACACCCGCTCAACTCCCGCCCCATCCTCGGGTTACCGCGCCACCTGTCCTGGGGTTTTAACCAGGATCATCGTCCTCTGTCCTGGGAGCTCTGCAAGTCTGTCTGAGCAGAGTTTGTGTTGGTTGCGTAATAATAATACAGTAGTTCCTTGGTTAACAGTGACATCGGTTCACAGTTTTTCGGTTAACATATCGCCTCCCATAGGACCCCCCATGGTTCGACTAATATCATTTTGATGACAGCTATGTGTTTACGTTATGCATGTGGGGTACCAATTTCGGCCAATCAGAGCGCTTGTCAGTGGATTGAACCATGCCCTCAGCCAATCAGCGATGCCCATTTATGAGCTTTTAGACCTCGACTGGCTTTGTTTACATTATGTTTTCTGTTTTGGCAGTGGAAACAGCTCTCTTGCAGACTCGGTGATTTTTGTGCTTATTTCTCAACTTATAAGTCAATTCGATTAACAGTTATTTCGGGTTCACGGTAGTTTTCGTGGAACGGATTATAAAAACGTGAACCGAGGGACCAATGCAATAACGACGACGACGTACCGTGAAGGACGACACACCTTTTGGCCGTCATTGCCAGCGGATACGGCTTGCTGCTCGTTCGCAGAATTGCAGAGGGTCACGAGCGTTATACGGTGCAATGCTCGGGAGGATGCGGTCAAGTACAGTCATCCCTTCTTCCCGTATTGTTGATAATCTCCTCCTTCCCCATAATCTGTCCTTGTTTTTTTGTACCACAGAAGTGGCAATTCACTAAAGAGAAACAATCTTCGAAGGAATTATTTGTCCAGTTTTTTATAGCATGCGGAAGTCCGGCATCCAAAAATGTATTGAAAAAGGGCTGTAAAATTTGACACTGGAGTTGCAGCGGCACTTGTATTTGGTTCAATAAGCAATCGATGCGGTGATGCCTTTTCTTATTTTTCACAAGTCATTAAATACATGTACGGCAAGCCAGGCCACAACATATGTGCGTAGCCACAAGTTAAGAGCTGTTTGAGGTGACCCGGTGGCTCAGAGGGCAGAGAACGCTGAGCCAATGCCACTGAGATCCTGAGTTAAATTCTGGGCCTCAGTTGTCCTCTGATGAAACTGGCTTCAAAAGTGTAGTGAATTTATGTCCTTATTCCAATCTCCAATGATTGCACACACAAAAAACCCATCTAATTAATTTTAGTCTTTCACTAAGTTTGGCTTAATTGTCTACCAAGCAGTGACTTGGTTGGATCATCAATAGCAGCAGCAGCTCTGGTCAATTCACCGCTGGATTAAAGCCTCCCAAGCTGCTGCCATCTTACGATCCTGTGATAGGGTTGCGCCCCTTGGCTTCATTTCTCGGCGAATATTTTCTGGGTCGTTTAATAGATTGGAGTAGGCTTGTGAGACACGGTGCGACGAGCTAGGTGGTATACTGAAAGTGGCGTGCTGGGTGTGGAAATACTTTCTGGGTCACTGAACCTAAAAAAATCTGGACTGATATTAAGCCCTAGTTACCAATGCTGCAGTTTAGTATACCTATTTATACTGCTAAAGTAAATTTTACTATTTTTTTACCAGGTAAGGCCCACTGAGCTAAGAAACTCGTTTTCATAAGTGACCTGGCCACAAATGAGAGCTCAACTTTTATTTCTTTTGTATGGAATGTAAGCAACAGTTTGTTGAATGGTAAGGTCCTTCAACCAATCCAAGACGGCAGTAGAAGCTGTATGGATTGCAGCAATGCCGCCAGGGTGTGCATGGATGGCACACTCGTCGTTGATGTGTTTGATGCTCAACGGAGTGGCTTATCACGTTAAAAATTTCAGTAGCCAAATACTCTAAACGCCTGTTTCTAAATGTGGAGGGAAAAACTGGAGGACCCGGAGAAAAATCCACGCGACCACGCGAACTCCAAATATACAGCAGGCGTCAGAATCGGGAGCGAACCCACGACCTCCTGGTGAGTAGTGGACAAGAAGCAGGCAAGCAGATTTGAGAAATTCGCCGGTAGATAAAACCTTACTACCTGCTCACCATCATTTATGACGAGGGCAACTGTAAATTAACGCCGGATCCTGCGCGTGCACCTGTGCCATCCGTTCTCCTCCTCTTCTTTCCCAGGGGCGTGTTCGACATCTTCGTGAAGATAGATGGCGCCCCCAAGAAGGTGGGCTGCTATGACAACCGGGGCAGCTTCGGCGAGCTGGCGCTCATGTACAACACTCCGAGAGCCGCCACCATCGTGGCCACCACCGAAGGCTCGCTCTGGGCCATGGTGGGTGCACGCACTGCTCGCACTGCTCGCACGCACACACGTCATCACGCTGTCGCCTTCTTCCTCTCCCGTCCAGCCCCCTTGAAAGGGAGGCTGCTGGGTCCACGAAATTCCAACGTAAGCAGCAGTAGCAGGACAGTGCGAATGAGACTAAAAAACAGTCAGTACTCTTTGGTTGTTTCGGTAAAGTCACGCACGTAAGTAGAAAAATAATAGATCTTGACGTTTCGATCGCAACACAAGCAATCGTCATCAGGTGGGACAACCACGGCAAGAAAAAACTGCTGAAGTAGGCGAGAGGTCTGCCGTGGCACGAGGTTATATAGTAGGCCTCGGCAGTAGGGGGGGGGGGAGAGAGAAGGGGGGGGAGGCGGGGCAGAATGTGGACCCCGCAGAGCAGCACCCGGGTCACTGGAGTAGAGATTGGAGAGAGATGCACGGAGAGAGAGAGAAAGACACAGAGTGGGAAATAACAGCTGACATAGGCAGGTAGGATGGAAACATCACAGTCAGTTAAGACTTTACCTGGTTAATAACGTCCTTCCAATGATTGCTCAGTTTGTTCATTGGAAGGACGTTATTAGCGAGGTAAAGTCTTAACTGACTGTGATGTTTCCATCCTACCTGCCTATTTCCGCTGTTATTTCCCACTCTGTCTTTCTCTCTCTCCGATCTCTACTCCAGTGACCCAGGTGCTGCCGCGGGGTCCACTTTCTGCCCCGCCTCCTCCCCACCCCTTCCCTCTCCCCCCCTACTGCCGAGGCCTACTATATAACCTCGTGCCACGGCAGATCCCTCGCCTACTTCAGCAGTTTTTACTTGCTGTGGTTGTCCCACCTGATGACGATTGCTTGCGTTGCGATCGAAACGTCGTGATCTATTATTTTTCTTCCTACGTGACTTTACCGAAAGAACCAAAGAGCATGGATTTCTGCAGTCATGAAAGCTTCAAATCATAACAGTCAGTGCCTGGTAGACCATGTCCTGAATTTGGGTAGAGGATTCGACGAGGTGAAGTTCACAGAAACGGTAACCGTGGTCGTATCGGTCGAAGTATTGAATAGCACGGTTGGCTACTTACAGTGCGGAAGAATTCTAGATTTAAAGTTTTCGTGACTGCAAGGATCCATACTCTTTGGTTCTATTGGGTAAAGTCACGTAGGTAAAAAATAAAATAACAAAAATCACGACGTTTCGGCCACAACACAAGCGGCCTTCATCAGGTGAAGGGACGAGACTGTCTGGAGGACAGCGCTGGAGTGAAAAAAAGCCACGCTCAGATCACGACCTTTAAGCTGTGTGAGAAGAAACAAAGCGCCTTGACAAAGGAAGGGGTGCCTTTGCGGATGTGTATGCTTTAACTTTAACATAGCCATTTCTGTGACCAGTCACAAGCTAATCACTCAGCCATTTCAATGCTAAATTATATGTTAATTCCTTTGTCAAGGCGCTTTGTTTCTTCTCACACAGCTTAAAGGTCGTGATCTGAGCGTGGCTTTTTTCACTCCAGCGCTGTCCTCCAGACAGTCTCGTCCCTTCACCTGATGAAGGCCGCTTGTGTTGTGGCCGAAACGTCGTGATTTTTGTTATTTTATTTTTTACCTACGTGACTTTACCCAATAGAACCAAAGAGTATAGTGCGGAAGAAGTTCAACATACGTATGAGAGCGATAAAGATGCGGCCGATGGCCGGCGAGCGGGTTGCCTCTAACCCCTTCTGTGTTCTCTGACCCCGCTCTCGGTTCCATCCACTTCACTCTGGTGATGCAGGACCGGGCAACGTTTCGGCGAATCATCCTGAAGAACGCCGCGCAGAAGCGCAAGATGTACGAAGCCTTCATTGAGTCGGTGCCCCTTCTCAAGTCCCTCGATGTGCGTACCACACAACCCTGGGACCTTGCCCGGAGCCTGAGGCTCTGCGCCGTTACCTTTAGCTGCCCGTAACTTTGTTGCATTTGTTGACCGCTCCGACTTGCTGCTTCTGTTTTTCTAACAAAGGTATCGCATTACTGATCCACCTCAACCAGGAGCAACATCCAATTGTCTAGCAGGCTTCAGCCGATTATTAGATGCGCAATTTTCCTCTGCATTTTAATGCAAATGTTTGGAATCTGCATCTTATCTGGTAGCTGTTTTCTGTGAGTCCAGATCTGTATAACATTATTGTCACTGACCACAAGTTTGGAGTGTGTGACTTTGTAGAGCGTCTTATAATTTGAAGAATACGGTAATTTAGTAGAGGGTGGGAAGGCCTGAGGCTAAAGGAACTCGCTTGTACCAGGCAAGGTATCGAGACGTTTAGGTGCACCTTATCAACCTCTGAATGAAATAAATGATAGAGCAAAAATTATTTCGTAAAGAAATTACGTCTCCAATAACTAAAGTGATTTGTTAATGTGTCTTTAAGAAGATAGACAAATCCATATTGAGTACAAAAACCTGCCATGTTGAATTGTCGTTCTGCTGCCGTGAAGACCCATACTCACGTGGCCATACCCAGCCAATTGCAGCGCTTTTGTGTCTGCAACAACAAAAAAATCATTGATTTTTTACAGCATTGCTGTGCTTTGCCGAGCATTGGGCAACTTTGTTTCCCAGTGGCTCATGGTAATTGGAGAAACACGGACAAAAGGCATTGTTATAAGCAACGGTTTTTCAAAAAACTTATGCCACTCAGCTAAATGTGATCCTTGCAGTCCTTGCATGTAAACGCCAACGCAGTGGAGCTCAGTGATGTAAGCGCACTGGCTGTGATCAATACACTGCTGGACAGAGGCCTGTGCAGGCTATCACTTTCCTTCATGATCCTGCGATGTAAGGATACATCTAGCACCTGCGCACAATCCTATTTAAGCGCTCCATCTCCACCGTGGATGCATTCTCTCTCAGATGCGTTCCATCACTTTGGCCACCAATCCATTGTTAGTCTCGACCACTGGCGATCGTCCCTTCTAGCGACACATCCTGCCCAAGCCCAATCACTCACAGTCAGTACGGTGTCTCCCAACTGTATTAATTTCCTCTAATCCGATGTACACGTGACCTACTCCAATGTACACGTGACCTACACGTTCAATTATCAATTCGTTATGTTATGCTCACCACTGCAGTAAACCGCAGTGGTGAGCGTTAGCTTTTGCCAAATGAATTGATCTATGACAGGGGTCGGGAACCTTTTTGACTAAGAGAGCCATGAAAGCAAAAAATTTGGAAATTTATTTCAGTGAGAGCCATATAATATATTTTAAAAGTGAATTCAACTAAATGTCAGTATAATAAGCCTCTGAATTTATTCTTTTAAATAATGTTGTTATAACACTCACCATTAATGCAACTTCTGGTGCTGCATGGATTTGCTGATGTCTTTGTAGTCGGGTTGGTACTTGGTGAGGTTAAGCTTCATGCAAGCGTTGAGGCTTTCATCCGTTAAACGTGATCGTAGGTTGGACTTGATGTTTTTAAGATGTGAGAATGACTGCTCACATGCATACGTAGATCCAAACATGGTCAATACAGCAATACTCACACGCTGCAGTGTGTGGTATGTGACAGGAAGCGCGTTCCAAGTTTTGAGAATCAGCTGGTCTTCGGGTTGGAGTTTTTTCATTTCTGTCCACATGTGCTTGCTCGCCAACTCCGCTTTCTGTCGTGTGATTCTTTCCAAATCTTCATTCAGTGACTTGAACTTATTCACCCACATGTCTGAGGCCTTCAGGTCAGCCACTTCTGCTTCAAAATCTCTGACGGAGACACCAGGGATGTAATTCAGGTCGGCTGTGTTCAGTGAACACTCGTTTGGATGGGTGATGAACTTAAAAAGACGAGTGTGCTCACGAAATTCTCCAAAGCGTGCTTTGAAGGACTGTAGGAGACTGGATGTGCAGCCAGCTAGCTGGTGGAGATCAAGGTTTTGAATGGGCTCACTTGCTGTGCATGCATCTTTAAATTGGCTCCGTTTTTCAAAATGTAGTAAACGACCTGTTTCAAGATCCGTGATGAAAAGCTCCAGCTTGTTTTCAAAAGCAAATACAGCTTGTTGAAGGGATAACACTGTATTTCCAATGCCTTGCATTTTCACGTTGAGCTGGTTCAGATGTTCAGTCAGATCTACGAGATAGTAAAACTTGAGGAGCCACTCGGTGTCGGCTAGCTCAGGATGCCCGACGCCTTTCATTTCAAGGAAAGTCCGGATTTCGTTCAGGCAAGCCGCAAAACGGCTAAGCACCTTCCCTCTTGACAACCAACGCACATTGCTGTGCAAAAGCAGACCAGGATAGTTATTTACAACTTCATCCAGCAGTGTTTTAAACTGGCGATCATTTAAGGCTCGGGCAACAATAAAGTTGATCACACGAATGACCAGCGACATCACTTCGCCAAACTGCCTGTCACACATCTGAGCACAAAGTGCCTCCTGGTGTATAATGCAATGGAAACTTAGGATGGGTCTATTTTCATGTTCACGGAGAAGCGCCACAAATCCTTTGTTTTTCCCCACCATACACGGAGCACCATCAGTACACACTGAGAGAAGTTTATCCATAGGTAGACTTTTTTCTTGAGCAAACTCCATGAAAGACTTGAATAAATCCTCACCTCTTGTGGACCCTTTTAATGGCAGAACAGCAAGACTTTCTTCGCGCAGTGTGTCACCAACAGCATATCTTGCAATCACGCTGAACTGCGACAAATGGCTCACGTCTGTTGACTCATCCAAAGCCAGAGAAAAGAACGGCGCTGCATTTATGTCCTTCACTTGCGTTTCCTCCACTTTGTTTGCCATCACGATGGTACGATCATGAACAGTTCTTGCCGACAGAGGCATGTCTTGTATCCGTTTGATTATCTTGTCTTTGTTCGGAAGATCATCAAAAAGTTCATTGGCTACATCCAGCATGAACGTTTTAGCATACTCGCCATCTGTGAATGGTTTTCCGTTCCTCACTATTGCTAAAGAACCAGCAAAGCTAGCCGAATTATAGTCACCTTGCCGGGTCCATACGCGGAGTTGCTGCTGGCTAGCTTGCACCCTGCTCAGAAGCTCTTGGCACGCTTTCTTTCTGCTGTCTCCCGCAGGGTATTTTGATGCAAAGGTAGCGTGGCGCGTGTCGAAGTGCCGCTTTACATTCGACCGTTTCAACGATGTAATTTTGTCATTGCAAATTAGACACACCGCAGAACCCGCTCTCTCCACAAAGGCGAATTCTTCGGTCCATTCGTCCTGAAATGTACGATACTCGTCGTCTTTTTTTCTTTTCGCCATCTTCTTCGTCGAAGGGTTAGCTTTGAGCTAATGACCGAGCAGACGCAGTCTCAGACTGATTCAAAAGGGGGTGTTTACCTGTTTTACCCAGCAACGGCAAACGTAGGCCAGTATCATCCAATTAAAATAATGGACAATTGCTCCTGCAGCCCTGAACAGGACATGCGCAGTGAAAAATCGATGGATGGATTAAAACAAGTGAGAATATTTTGTTTTATCTGCGAGCCATATGCAATCATCAAAAGAGCCACATCTGGCTCGCGAGCCATAGGTTCCCGACCCCTGATCTATGATATGTTGACGCTTTCCTTCGAACAGTACCAAAGATCATTACACAATGGACGAGAATTGGATTTAAAGCCAGCGGATGAGTTACCGTCACCTTGCCTGGAAATGATTTTCCATAATATTCGATGCTGTTGATGGCTATGTATCCTAAATTTAATATCAGTGGAGCAGTGGCGCAGTGGTTTGCACACACTGCAACATAAACCCCCGGCGACCCGTGTTTCATTCCAGACCGTGGTTAACATCAGTGGTGAGTACTTTCTGAATCGATTGTGGACTCCCCCTCATGACCCTATTTCACTAATCTGCACTGACGAGCGTGGCGATTTATGGTCAGACTTCCCCCCCTGACTAAGAACATGTCAGAGGTCTTCATTTAGCAGTGGATTGACAAAGGGCTCAACTTTATGACATTGTTGAATAATAACCGTACCTTGATTTTAGTTTCAGAGATGACCCTGTTCTCACACTTGGATACCTTTTGGCCAGGGGTCAGCAAACCTGCGGCTCCGGAGGCTGCATGCGGCTCTTTAAGGAACTGCTTTCATGAATGTTATTTATTAAGAACCACTGCCTCGTATTCACAATGCATTGTGGCTCTTGAAATATTGAGGTTTTTTTAAAACCAAATTTAAAAAAAAAATTGTCTTGTTTTATTTGTGTCCAACTCCTGCCTTAGGGCCATCTCGTGCTGGTATATAAATATATATTGGACCAGGTTACGTTTGTATTTAAAGGATGTACGATGCCCTTAGCATTAAAAGATAGATGGTGGCCAGGATGGATGGTGGGTGGCCAGTATCGGAGCGTAACTCCTCTTTCCTAACGATTACTTTTTGAATTCATTTTGTTGTGGTTTAAAAATTGAGTGTGGTTGCTTTCACAAACGGGAGCATTGGAGGCTATATATCAACCACAGATGCAGTCCCGTAATTTATACTTGGCTGCAGCCCATCCCATGCCCAGACCCAATCCCCAGTGAACAAAGCGCTGCTCAAATGGAATTGGCCTGCGGCGGGGGAAGGGTGTTTGGAGTGGCTCTCAATGATTAATGCTGAGCTGGTGCCCTGTGTTAATTTTGTTTGTGAAATTAGCGCCCAAAATATTTTTGTCAGCTGAATGTTTACTTGTACATTTTTTGGGGTATTTTGGTCAACAGTGACTGCGAGTGGACGAGATCATCGGGCTTGACAATGACTCTGATTTCCACAATGATGGCCAAAACCTGACCGGCGGTGTTCAGACGGGACTTAACGAGTCCGCATGAAGATGCCAGACTTAAGATAATGTAACTAATTATTCTGCTGATGCTGCTGCATTGGCAGTGGTGAAGAAGCACAAATAACAACAACTCAACACACTCATTAATTACAACACCGTGGCCTTGAATGGAAATAATTTGTTTAAAAGGATCCTTTTATGGCAGTGTTATTAATAAACTTGTCCAGTTTTAGATAATTTAGTAACGTTTAAAATTAGAGACTGCAGTGCACTGAGGAAGACCAAAATGGTTATCGTATGTGTATATATATGTGTGTGTCTGTATATATAAAAGATGTACTATGAAGCTGACTGATCGAATTCTGGCTGTCGCCTGATGAACCTGGTTGTAATTACTGGCAAAAAGTTGTACTCGAATTTTAAATGTAGTGGAGTTGCTCTCCAACGCACCGGAGTGCTGTACTAGTAACTAATTGGCATGTTAATGTGACAAACCTTAGTAATTGGCTGTGTTTGGTGGTGCCGGGTTTAACGACACATTTACGCGATGTCGCCCCAAAACAAAACCTCTTATGGACGAACATTGCTTTCGGTGACAGGGCAGATGAGAAATTTGAGCAGAGGTCACTTCCAGGCATCTCTAAGTATTTCTATGTCATCCACTATTGCAGACCGTTCTCTTGCACAGAGTTGCCCTGCTCTGCGAGAGTTCCGAACTGATCCATCGTTTGTTGACACTGATGGAACAATGGGAATAAAATTGGTGAATCGAGACAAAAACATATACGAAAGAAGAAAAATCCTTAATTTTGGGATTTGACTTAATTTGCCATATTCCACTTCAGAGCTAAAATTGTGATTGGATTTACGTGATGAACACTCTTAGCATGTCGTATAAAATCTGTGCCACCTGGTGTGGATAAAGAGGCCAGTTCGAAGTAACTTAATACTGTAAGTAAGCAGTTCTGTGACGTTATCCTCCCAAGCCCATTCTCTCTACGCAAAGGTTTTTGCAGTGCCTTTTGTGACTGTTTATCACGGAAATGCCTTTGACATTTTGTGAGTAGCACAATTGAGCGCCGATTTGGAGGACCGGGGAAAGGGAAAGAAAACAATACAAAATTAAATGACACTGCAGATCATGACCCCTCTCTGGAAGTCTGAATGCTTTACTTAATAAATCAATATATTATTATTACTATTATTACTGCTGCCGTACATCCAAAGGAGAGGCGAGACACAACTCTACTGTCAAAGATTAAAAGCCGGCACATTTGATGTGGTCACGGCGAGCGTAATGGCTCTGATTTTACGAGCCCAGCAAGGCAACCCCAGCCGCTGGCACTCTCTGAGCTCGCTCTCACGGTCTCTTAAAACCACAGAGCTGGGCGTTTCAACCTCGTTTTTTCTTCGTGCCGACAACGGAATCCCAAAGTGCAGCAATGCTATACAGGGAGTGTGATCCGGTGCTTTGGAGGTGAGGGTGGATCACGCGGCTATTTTTGTGAAACTCCCAAACCCACTGAGCTGGAAGTTGTCTAGGTGTGAATCCATAGGACTGTCGCGCATCTGTAAGGGGCAAATTAGTCTTACCCCCTTGCATGTTTAGGGTTTTATTCGGCTTGTTTATTCAGGAACCTCACTGAGTTGGAACTCTTTTTTTAGGAGGGTCCAAGATTGTGCAGTTGGGAGGGCAACATTGCTGCTGCTATATGTGATCCCAATTGAGTAACTCACAGGTCACTTGAAACGATGGGAGGAAACAGCATAACCTTGAGAAAACGCATGCAATGACAAGGCGAGAACGTATGACAAACTCGACACAGAAAGGCCGCCCGAGTTTGAGGATTGAACCCAGGCCTTCCTTGCTGTGAGGCGCAAGCGTTAACCACTGCACCACCACCCTGCCATGGAGTTGGTGAACACAGCGTTGCACCTTTACCTAAGAATCATCATCAGTAGAGTGCTGCCTCTGTCACTGTATGTACCATTACTCTGAGGGTGAGACTTTACCAGATGAATCGATGACCTCACTGTTACTGTAGTAGTTCAGTGTGCAGGGGTGGTGGTGGGAGCTGGGTTCATGCGCCTTCTTGAGAGTGACCGCTCGCTTCCCCCCCGCATTGTGCCATTGCGCGTTCACAGGCGTCGGAGAGGATGAAGGTGGTGGACACCATCACCACCAAGTCATACGAAGACGGGGAGCAAATCATCGCTCAGGCACGTGCCACGTTGCATTCGTTTAATCTTGCGTCTTACCAAACCTAATCCAGCATTCGCTCACAGTTCGTCAGCCGTAAAATGCATCTGTACAAACCATGGGCAGCAGACGCTGATACTTTATGACGCGACTGTGGTCACCCAGAACAGAACCATGGCACATATATAACGACTTGGTGCCGATTCACAGCGATGCACTCCTACGACTATTCCTGACACATTTATCTGACGGCGGTGGAACGTTGCTGTGACATAAGCGGCATTGGGGGCCTGACGGCCTTGAGCAAAACCAAGCTAATTAGAGCGACGATTTAATGTTTAACAATCGTGTATTGTGTGTGTGCAGGGAGCCAAGGCTGACTGTTTCTTCATTGTGGAGGCTGGGGAAGTGAGGATCATGATGAAGAGCAAAGTAAGTCACAGGACCACGGCCGCACTGCCCCTTTTCGCTGTTGGCGCGGACTGCACTCTTCCGAGAGTCGTGCTGTGAATCGTGGCTCTGTGCTTCAATCACGCAGCAGAGACACGAAGCTGCCCAGAGCTCTCCTCAGGGAAGCCCTCTTGTTGCACCAAACAGACAATGGGAGTTTTGTTTTTTTTTGCACGGAGTGTTATATTGATTTGGCATTGATTGGATTTTTGAGGCGTTTTTCAATCCATCATGTGATGTGCTTGTTTATTTGTCCCGACGTCTGTTCGATTTGTTGCTGCACTTGAATTTGTTTGTTTTTGCTCTTTCCTTTCCGGTGACCCAGGTCTCGCTTGCAAATGAGGCTTTTAGCCAGCTCTCTCGAGTTTGCACCCGATTAAACACAAATAAACTTGAAACCTGAATAGGGCTCCAGCTAACACAAAAGTCCTTTGATAAAATTGCGCATGTGATGCTGGGGTACAGCCCCTGTGGGTCCTGCGTGTTGCAGGACAACCCCCAAACCGTTTTGTAGACGCGCTTAACGATACACCCGGAACATTATTTTTGAACGAAAATCGCCAACGTTATTGCGCCCTGCGTTTTTCTCCCGTCCAACAACACCCGTTGACACAAGTTAACGATTGTGCCGATGACGGGGAACGGTTGAATACATACGACAGTGCCTCGAGAGGGGAAGTTCCGCCGTACACGGAGCCCGTCGATGAGTCGACGTGGTATAGTTGTCAACGAAAATACTGGACACGTTCGTCAATAACACAGCCGCCTTAAAATAATTGACAAGGAGCGTTTTGAGCCATTGCCCTTCTTCATAGCACATGAAGAAGAGCCATGAACCCAAAACGTTGCCAATTATACATTTTTCCTTTTAAGGTCCCAGTTTTTTTTTCATGAATGCGAGGTTCATAATTTGTTAGTTGTGCTTGTGCACCACTGTTGATGCAGCAACAACACCAGATAATTCGAATACTTTTAGTTTGGTAGAACTCTTATCCGATTGGGGTAAACTCTGCTGATCCCATCTGTAATCTAAGCAACTAGTATTTTGCCCGTCTAAGGACGGGTGTATTTGCAAGTGAAAAGCAGACCACGACATGATATATTCATCGCATCAATTCGTGTGCAATTTGTAAGGTCGCGGTGACACAGACATTTCATTTGAAGGTCATAATCCCTTGTTCATCATGATGTCCTTTTCACTTCTATATCTCAATCGCGTTACGGATATCACATGACGTGAGGCTTGTGCCTTTGTAGTGAGGGTTGTAAGTCAATTTAACATGTAGACTTTCGCGACCAATATTATTCATAAAGGTTTTTGGGTTAGATCGCGTTATTTATAAATGTGTCGTAACCCTCCACCATCCGACACGGCCAATCAGCAAAAAAGTGTCACGTTGACAAAAGACAATTAGTTCACTACTTTAGCCCACCGGTGTGTTGAAGAGTGAATCCACAACATTTACAGTTTGAATACGACGTTTCGCTGGTAATTACATCCAGCATCATCGGGCAATTCGCCAGAATGGTAAAGCCCTTGCTTGCTCCCGGTCTTAAATAGAGCAGCAGGGTGACATCATTTAACTCATTCAGGTGCAGTAATTATATAATCGATTGGAAATCAGTCAATGGTTATGATTAGTAATGAGTTGTAGATTAGTAATTAGTTGTAATGTGTGTTATTGTGATTATATGCTACGTTAGTAATCTGTTAATTAGTATGTGTTTCCCCTATAAGGAATTGTAATATGTATTTAATAATACGCTTCCAAGCCGCACTAAGCCTATAACTATCAGAGCGATTAAAGTTATTTCTATTCCTCTCAATTTCAATGGATTCTCTAATTAGTCTTTGCCAGTAATAATTAGTTTTACACAACACTTCAACGTTATCAAAATCAATTGAGTGTCCTTGTTGACAAGGACACAACTGCCGACAGTTGTGTTTGAGATAATTTAATATTTCTTTGGTGTGCTTTTAGTCTTATGCTGATGTAACGTCCCGTATGTCCAATACACATTTATAAATAACACGATCTAACCCAAAAACCTTTATTATGAGGGTTGTAAGTCGTTTGGCATTTCTACCCCCCCATGTGAAGTGATGTCACCCGCTAATTCATATTAATGGGGGCGGAGAGGTGTCCATTTCATGATTATTAATGAGGGGGGCTGTTCGATGTGGAGTGACGTCACCTGCTCATGATTATTAATGAGGGGGGGGGGGTCCATGTGGAGGACGTCACCTGTTCATGAGTATTAATGAGGGAGGCTGGCCGACGCGGAGTGACGTCACGCGTGGGACACAGACATTCTTTGCTCATTATAGTAGTAAATAACCACCGGAAACCGTTCGCTAGTCGAGCACCCCAAACTTCCTGAGCAGCGTACTGGACAAAGCAGCGTGCTGTGTGTGTGCCACCTGGTGGTGAACATTTGTATCTGCGACCGAATTGCTCCTGCTTGAGATTTAGTATTGTCACAAAAAAAGTTTACTCTTATTCAGGATATATCTTTTTTTGCATGACCCTGCAGTCCATCAGCTGCGAGATTATGTTCTACGAGCCCCAACACCCTTCTCTACCCCATCCATTACCCCATCCTCTACTCCCATCCCCTACCCTCAACCCCTACCCTCATCCCCCCCCCATCCCTTACATCCCTGGAGCGTCCAACATTGCTGAGCAGGAGAAAATGTTCTCATTGTTGCAGAGATTCATGACTCGTGTATGGCGGCTACCCCGGTTAATACTGGGGGTGTATTAGACCGTAGAAATACCTGCTGCCTGCTTCAAAGTCGACATTAAAGATCCTTTGACGTTGTTCACAAGAGCAGGCCAATGTGTGCTGGCGTCATTGTACAAATTTTCCAATTACCCCACTTGGAATAACTCAATTGGAATCTACATAGCAGTCATCATCCTCCTACTGTGAACACTTTCCAGAACCCTATTGAAAAAGGGTCCTGGGTAAACAAGCGTAATATAACAAAAATTATAAACAGTAGTCCCTCGGTTAGCGTGTTTAATCCGTTCCACGAAAACTACTGTTCACTGAAATAACTGTTCATTGAATTCACTTGAAAAATAAGTAAAAATCACTGAGTCTGCAAGAGGGCACTGCTGAACAGGGAACGTGATGTAAACAAAGCCTGTCGAGGTCTAAACGCTCATTAATTTGGCGTCGCTGAGTGCATGATTCAGCCCCACTTTTGAGAGCTTGAATTGGCTGAAATTGGCGCCTGCGTGCATAACGTAAACATAGCATTAGCCAAAATGTTAACGTCAGTCGAAACCATGGGGTCCTATGGGAGGCGAAAAGTTAACCGTAAAAAACGTTAACCGATGTCACTATTAACCAAAGGACTATTGCAAAACACAACCTCCGGCGGAAACGTGGAGTCATAGCCGCCGTTATGGACGACTTGAACGACGCTAAAACGGAGCGACGAAATGGGCTCACTGGTTATGACATCGCGAGACGGTTAGCGGTGGTGGCAGCGTCTCAGGGAGGCCTCCATTCGGCAGCGAATGGCTCGTTTCTGATGACGATGGCGATGATTGACGTGTGCTCGCTTCTCTGTCCGCCGCGTAGACCAAGGAGGGGGAGGTGGAGATCGCACGCTGCACAAGGGGCCAGTACTTCGGAGAGCTGTCCCTCGTCACCAACAAGCCCCGAGCGGCTTCAGCCTACGCTGTTGGAAACGTCAAGTGCGCAGGTGTTTGCCGTTCCGCCTCCTTGAGCCCGCGTGCGCCCCCGTGCGCCCCCGTGCGGCAGTAGTGAGTGTCGAGTAAGCTCCCCAGTGTCTGTATATATAGTTGGACTCCTCTACTTACGAACTTTCGACTTACGAGCTTTAATAGATACGAACAAACCTGTCCGTATCTCCAGTTGCCTGTTCGGACCGAGAGTCGTAAGTTCAACCGCCGCGCAATAGATGGCGGTGGTGACATCTACATCTGCAGAATGTGAATAACCAGTGGCATCTACATCTACAGATTATACAACTTGTAAAGCCATTCCCCGTGTTTAGTGTACATGCCGGACAACATATTTGGAATCGACAGGAGCAAAGTTGGACTTAAGAACAAATCGACTTTTGAAGAGACATCTGGAACCTAACTCGTTCATAAGTAGAGGTGTCCCTGTATGTATGCGAAGAGACATCTGGAACCTAACTCGTTCGTAAGTAGGGGTGTCCCTGTATGTATGTGACTGTTCGTGATTGACTTTTGGGTTAGGCCACGTAGTTAGTTAATTATCCAGACAAATCTGTGTCGTAAGGCCCTCCACCACCCGATGTGGCCAAACAAATCGAACTGTCATGCGTACAAGTGTTCAAGCCGGTAGGTTTTATCGTTCCGGCTGACCGGTAAGTTAAAGAATGATTCTTGCAGGCAAATTCAGCAAATTTTTTTGTTTGTTTTTCTTGCGTTTATTTGGACGAAAGTCGTCTCGGGCCAGGTTCCGCTACCGACACAATCGTCGGCGACGCAGAGGTGCACAGCCCATCCTGCACTTTATTCCGAAACATGTCCTTGTTTACGTGCCCGTTTCATGATAAATGCAGTCATCGTAATTTAACATTTGGGGTGGAGACATTGCCGAGTGGTAGCGCGATTGCCGCTTGTTGTGGTTCAAGCTTCGCGGCCGTCCTGCTCGTGGGTTCGATCCCGACCCTGACGCCTGCTGCTGTATATTTGGAGTTTGCGGTGTCTCTCTCCCCGTGATCGTGTGGATTTTTTTCCCGGGTCCTCCGGTTTTTCCCTCCACATTTAGCAACATGTGTTTGTAGTATTTGGCTGAATAACATTTCTACGTGATAAGCAGCTTCATTGAATCCAGGTCACTTATGAAAAAGAGCTATATATATAGCTCAGTGGGCCTTACCTGGTAAAATAAAAATAGTCTATAGTTTTTAATAGTTCTAGAGACCCTTCCACCAGCAGTGGTGCAATCAAAAAATCATGGGGGGGCTGCACCTTTGCCTCTACCTGAATCTGTCCGCCTCAATGCCCCCCACCCCACCTCACCACCCACTTTGTGATTCCCGCGCAGTCATGGGCGTGCAGCCCTTTGAGCGCCTGCTGGGGCCGTGCATGGACATCATGAAGCGCAACATCACGCACTACGAGGAGCAGCTGGTGGCGCTGTTCGGGACCAGCATGGACATATCGGAGAACTCCAGTCCCGCGCCTGTCTAGACGGGTTGCGGTCAGGCGTCCATTCGGCTCGCGTCCTGCAATTCGCGACGGAAAAGTTATTTCGCCCGACGGAGCGTTGTTTGTCACCGGCGAGTCCGCGAGTGGACGCGAACGATCAAAGCGCGATGGTGACGACAACGACTGTCCCCCCCCCCCACTCCCTCCGCCCGCAAAATATTTCCAGGGTTTTCTTTGATTGGCCGACCTGATAATATTGGGTGGGGGGGGGGGTGGTGGGCTATTGCGAGCTGCTCACACCAACTTCGAATAACTTGAGAGTGTCTTGGCTGTTGTCGCCTTGACTGAGAATAACTAAAATGTGATCCGGAGACTTAAGACGAATTCCACAGGTTAAGGTTAACAAGAAAGTATTAAAAAAAAAAATCTGACATTTCCAAATTACCACTGGACTGGACGTGTCTGCCCGTTGCAGCAAAACAAAAAAATTCCCGACAGGGCAGCGAAAGAAAAACAAATGCCGCCTGTGTCCACTCCACGGGCCGCGATTGTTTCTGTTCGTAGTGCGTGGCTGCTTGCGCGTTTTGCTATCAGGGTCTGTTGTCTGTCCGTATACTCGTTCATTGGACTTTAGAGCCGATATGTTAATTAACTCATCTGGTTTTTTTTTTCTACCACGCCCTGTCGATAAAAAGATCGTCGTTACACTTGAGGTGTAAGCGAAACTGAAACGTGTGTCGTCAGCTGGTTATGGAGTCTAGCACGCACCCATATGAAAGATGATGACGTCGATAATGCCGTTGGAATAATTTCCCCCCACGCATTTCTGGACGTTGCCGTGTGTCGCTCGGCATGGGCGTTCCACTTGGATAACAAGTGAGAAATTATAGCGAAAACATACGTGTTTTATCTCAAATCTCCCAACCAATAAATCGATTATCGACATGGAGCACGTTGCATTCACGTAATTCACCCTCGCTTCAAAAGGATGTGATTTTTGGCGTGTTGTACTGTTTTGCCACCCTACAAACGGGGCCACGCCAGGGCCGTGCCGGGCCAGCCCAGCGTGCAGCCCGGGAGTTGGCACCAGGGGTGGTTTTTTCGACCGCGTGACACGATCCGTGCCCTCCAACGTCACACAAACGAGTCGACACGCCGTGTATGTGATGGTGGCAACACCATGCCCTAGCGGTCGGAAAGAGTAAGCGTGTGTCATTCAAAGCCATCGGGGGGTGGGGGGGGGGGAAGCGGGGGTGTGAGTATCCATAAGTGGGTCTCCCCTTGTATCTCGAAAATATTAAAGCGACCCCTGGTTCGCACATTGGAGGGCGGTACTTTCCCACCCGCCGGCATTCGACGTTTTCGCACAACGTTAAAACCGATATTTTAATTCTCGTGGCGGGGATGTAGCCAAATTAAGTGCAGAACCAAATTTGAATGCGATGGATTTTTTTTTTATTCCATTGTCAGTGACCTGGCTGAAAACTGTGAATTCACGACACTTGAGAACCGGGATTAATCGCAGGAATAGAACCCAGAATCCCAGCTCAGTGTTCTGACATCTGAACCACCCGATCTCCTTGCACACATTCAAATTGTTATTCGTCAGGGTAGGATTTTTGCATAACTGTCTTCGTGTTTTGCTCGATTATTTTCTTCATTGTTACATCACCAACATCTTTAAAATTTTGTTCTTGGCCAGCACTGTTAGCATTGGGGTTTATCGTTTTTCACTAAATATCTTGCAATTTTCAAAACTGCCTCCACCCCCCGTCATCCTCCCTTGAACACTGGTTCGTCTAAGTCTGTCTGTGCTGTGTGCTGTGCTCGTGTGCGTGTGTGTGTGCGGTCTGCGCTCACTAACAGCACTTGCCCCAAAACTATATTAAGGCTATACGGGGGATCTTTGCCTTCGTGGATGAGGATATCACCCCCCCGCTGGTTGGTGAAGGTGGAGAGCATTGAAATAGAGCACAACAGTAGGTTTAACGACTGCATTGGCCTCTGCTTGCCGAACAGCGTAACCTTTGTAACCCCGGCAGTTAAGCGACAGCTGTGTGGTGGTTGGGCCTCTGCTGTTGGCAAATGTGGCTGTTGGTACGTTGTGGGGGTTGATGGATTTAGCCGGTCATGGGAAGAATCTGGCGTGACGGCAGCAACCGTCTTGGTTGCAGCTCGCAAAGGGCACGGGTAGACTTTTAATGGGGCGGTGGTGGGGGCTGACACGAACACAAAACTATCCGCTCAATTTATAAGTGTGAATTGTAACGTTTGTGATCGATTCCAAACCTCGAGCCATTTGTCGATAACGCTGCCCTGAATAGGACACGATACACTGTAGTTGGTGGCGTTTAGAGCAACGGCACCGCTACATAAGCGAGACTGGCCCGTGCTAAAAACGTTGCCTTATTACTCGATTACAGGATGAACTTTTTTCCACCTGAGGGTGCATCTGGTGGTCCGATAGGGGTGTGCGTGCGTGCACACGACTCGATTTGTACAACTTGATTGTCTCAGGTTTGTGGTGCAACTTTCCGCAGCACCTTTATAATCCAGAGAAAACATAGTTTTGGGTTGGTAGCTCAGCGCACAAATCTTGGCTGCCTGTAATCCACCACGGTGGAGGCAGCTGTGAGGGTTGGTGGATCCCGTGGGCATCGGGGAGTGGACTGATCGCCATCTGTTGCCATCGGTACGGGGCTAGAGTGTTGCCCCCTCGTGCGCGGTGGTTTTCTCCAGGTGCTCCGGTTTCCTCCCACTTGTATAAATGCTACATTGGCTGAAGACATCTTTTAAAATTAAAATAAAGTAAAACCCACTGCAGGACCCTCCTGTAAAATAATGCATACGACTTAGTGTGCCTTCACTAAGTTTAAAACTATTACGATATATTTTCTTTCTTGGTGGGGTTCAGTGTTGTCGATAAAAATGCGTTGAGTTTGTGTTCTCTGCGGGCCACTGCCAACACAGTCTCGCAAACAAAAACTTTAGATAGTTTTTCTGCCCCTCCCCGCCACCGCTAACGGCCGGTGCACATAGACGCTCGCAGTGTCCTTTCGCGTGCCAAAGACGCCGTAACCCGATTGGTTGAGGCCCTTCTGGCGTGAGGATTTTTTTTCCTTTCAATATACTAAAATGACACCTCGTCAAGCCATACTAAAATAGAAAGTTAATTGACTTCATGAATGCCGGCAAAATGACACGTGGATGGGGTTGGAAGCATTTGTTGTTGCACACAGTTTTAATAAGCACAACGTGGGCCAGGTATATATAAAGTTTGTTTTTTGGCCCTCTGCTGGGTTATGACATTTAAATGGTGGGCATCTCGGCTTCATATTCCATTGCGAACTTTAATGGACAACTGCTGTACTTGAGCTAAATCCTCACACGTGTGTGTGCGCGCGCGCACGGACCACGCCTTTCCAAACGCAATTGAATTTAAACGTTCACCACGCGATCGGATTAGTCGATGTGTTCATCGTCCCTTGTAGCTTGTCAGCAAAACCTGAATAATAAGCGTTTCAAGTCAGGGTACCGACGACTCTGGTTAGACGGGCGCAATGTTGTGACGTAACCCTGCGGCGTAACCTTGTTTAAAGGAGGTGGGGGGGTCCCATACAAAAACTCAGGGTGGGTGGGGGGGGCATGGCACACTCAATGTTTAAACGAACTTGACACGCTAAACGTGATACGGAAATAGCAACGATTTGATTGTCGCCTTTTGTGGCCGGGCTGCTGCTGCACGGCCCAGGCGTTGTTTTCGGGTTGTGCCACCACAGGGTTGCTCTTTGCGATGTCCGATGTTTCGCTCCACGCACTGCGAGCTTCTGAATTCTGGGACCTTCTAATTCGGTTCCTCAAGAAGTTCCCAGCAACGTGGGGGTGAGACGTCGGACATCGGGCAAGGACAGTGCTTGGCATGAGCTGAAAGCGCTTTTAAAAGCTACGATCACGATTGCCACCACCATCATCACTGGCATCATGGTACCAAGATCATCTTGTACCAACAGTTTTTGACTTCGAGAATTTGTTGACAGCGGCGAAGCTTTCAGCAGGAGGACTCGGGCCCCATCCAGCCCTCCTCAACGCCACGGCAGCCGCTGTCACGGTTTGCTAAACAAGTGGGTTTTGTGAGTGTCGCAAGGATAAGTGGGATTCTCGTATTGAAAGGAGGTGACTTGGGCGTGTCGCACCTTCTGCTTCACAACTGAGCCCTGCCCAGACCGTGCCAGGCCAGCCCGGCGCAGATCCGGACGCGCCGGGGTTATTTTTCTACAGCGGAACGCACTCCGTGCCGCCGAAGCCACGTGCAGTGGACAGGTCGAGACACGTGTCAATGACGCAGCTGGCCTCGCAGCGTGCTGGCTGCCGCGTCGTGGCGGACGCGTCATGACGGTTGTGTCTTGACGGATGCGTCAATTCGGCCCCCACCGCTGGCCGCCTTGTCCCGAGCCAGGTGTCCGATGTTTTGTGAGGTCAGCGTAAGCACGGTTTGGTTCCGGCTCGACACGGTGACGAGCCAGTGTAAAAGCACCCGTACCGCGAAGGGCCATTGTGCTCGATTGGCTAGCTTGGCTCTGATGTGCCAGTGGAAAAAAAAGGCTTATTGTTGTTTCCTAGGAGGTGAACGCAAAGTGTTTCTCAGTCCGTTGGTGATTTATGTTTTTAATTTCTCGTGCAAGCGTCGTGGGTGATGCTTTGTTTTTTTTCGCTTGCTGCAGTGTTTTTTATCGGTTTGTGTTTTTAGAAAATGGTACGGACACTGCTACTGCCAACACCTGAAAAATGGCCCAGGGATTTTTTCTACTGGGGTTCCTACTTCCAACCAGTGTGCATTTTGGTATTTTCTGACACTGAAATAAACAAATAAAAAGACATTGGGGTTTTTTTTCGCCGAATTAAATTGTGTTTTTTTTCTCTCATTTTCACGGCAAAAATATTGTCGTGGTTGTCATTACAGTACTTTGATCCTCGGTCTTATTATGATCTGCAGGGAGGCAACAAAAGAATGGAACTCGGGGTGCTTGCATGTTACACACGGTGCTTTCATGTTACACACGGTGCTTGCATGTTACACACGGTGCTTGCATGTCACATTCAATAGAATCAAATCGCAGAACACCCATTATGCGGTCACCGTCAGTCGTGATCAATTGAGGACTTCCCCCAAGCCGATTTTGTCGCTCCATCTCCATGGTAAATGTCCTCTCTGACGCTTTTCCTCTCTATCTCACACTCTACGTTACTGTAAAAATAACAATACCCCCTGGCACCAGTACAGGTATCCCTCGATTTACAAATGTTCAATTTTTAGGACCTTTCGCGTTAGCGCAATTGACAAATTTTGGACACTTTTCCATTCAACGAATTTCACGATGGCACGCGCCACGAGATCATCAAACACGAAGCACCCGCGAGGCTGCGTTGTCAACCATCCACGACGGCGTCATGGTGTCCCTGCACTGCCACAGTGATGCCTCCATATCACCGCCTCTACAGGCATTCTAACACGCAGCAGATCTTTTGGCAAGTTTCCTGCAAAAGTATTTTGTTTTAAATGAATTCTTATTCAATCGATTTCATGTTTATGTTCTTTTATTCATATTTTTGTTTTGTGAAAAGTTACGTGGGTGTTTACTTTTAGGTTAGGAGTAGAGATGGAATGACTGTCCGAAGCACATCCCAATTTCTTTAATAACATTTGTCGTGTCGTAGGTCTCTTCTCCCTCGTCGAGGCTGGTGTGTGCGCGGGTGGCATGCAGCGCACACACTCAGTCGGAGACGAGGCAGTGCCAGGTGGCACCGTCCTTTATTACTTGTCACGCCACCAACTCCGGCCCCCTCTCTCTCACGACCACGCTGCCGTACGACCCGACCCAGACACGACCCTGTCCGCGTTGCACCGACGGCGTCGACCGAGGCAGCCAACTACTGTCCTGCCGCTCCATGATCGGGCGAAGGCTGCGGCGGCGGCGAGACGAGTCCAGTCCCAGAACCGGCAGCCCGGAGCTCTTGCTCTCCGCTGCTTTTATTCTACTCGGCGCGGCTTGGCTCCGCTCTAGCCGCGCCTCCCTTCTCGAACCCACCAGAGGGTTCCAGGAGCCTCCCCACGAGCTCTACTTCCCCACAATCCCGTTACAACCGCGGCGTCCCTGTGGTGCCACGGCAACGAGGCCGCTCCGTTGGAGCCGCGCCTGCGGCGGGGGTGCTGCAGCAGCGAAGCAGCCCGGCTTGCGTCACGGCGCTTCCCCCACCACCCCCCACATGAACACACACACACACGTAGAGCCCCCACATGAACACACACACATAGAGCCCCCACATGAACACACACATAGAGCCCCCACATGAACACACACACATAGAGCCCCCACATGAACACACACGTAGAGCCCCCAAATGAACACACACACACACGTAGAGCCCCCACATGAACACACAGCCCACATAGAGCCCCCACATGAACACACACATAGAGCCCCCACATGAACACACACACATAGAGCCCCCACATGAACACACAGCCCACATAGAGCCCCCACATGAACACACCCCCACATAGAGCCCCACATGAACACACACAGAGCCCCCACATGAACACACACACGTAGAGCCCCCACATGAACACACACAGCCCACATAGAGCCCCCACATGAACACACACACACCCCACACACACCCCACATGAACACACACAGCCCCACATAGAGCCCCCACATGAACACCCCCACTTCCCCCACCACCCCCATATGAACACACACGTAGAGCCCCACATGAACACACACACACACCCACATAGAGCCCACACATGAACACACACCCCACATAGAGCCCCCACATGAACACACCCCCACATAGAGCCCCCCACATGAACACACACACCCCCACATAGAGCCCCCACATGAACACACACAGCCCCACATAGAGCCCCCACATGAACACACATAGAGCCCCCACATGAACACACACACATAGAGCCCCCACATGAACACACACACACCCACATAGAGCCCCCACATGAACACACACACACCCACATAGAGCCTCCACATGAACACACACACCCACATAGAGCCCCCATATGAACACACACAGCCCCACATAGAGCCCCCACATGAACACACACACATAGAGCCCCCACATGAACACACACACATAGAGCCCCCACATGAACACACACAGCCCCACATAGAGCCCCACATGAACACACACACATAGAGCCCCCACATGAACACACACAGCCCCACATAGAGCCCCACATGAACACCCCCCCCCCCAGATAGAGCCCACACATGAACACACACACACACCCCCCACATAGAGCCTCCACATGAACACACACACACATAGAGCCCCCACATGAACACACACAGCCCCACATAGAGCCCCCACATGAACACACAGCCCCACATAGAGCCCCCACATGAACACACACAGCCCCACATAGAGCCCCCACATGAACACACACAGCCCCACATAGAGCCCCCACATGAACACATACACACACACCCCCCATAGAGCCCCCACATGAACACATACACACACACCCCCCACATAGAGCCCCGAGGGGAGGTCACCTGGCCGACAGGTTTTCACCCAGAAGCCCTCTCATGGGACCAATCTTCACGGTTTCCTGCGACCAGGGAATTGGGCGACCTCCCCCGAGGCTAGCTCGCACCGCGGCGCCATGACCTGGATGGTGGCTGCATGGTCACGACGGGGCTGCTCAGCCGCCGCGGATAGAGGGGCACACTCGACACGGATCAGCAGGCAGGTAGAGGGTGGGGCGGAGTAACGAGCGGTGGTAAAACAGGGCGGCCCTCTAATTGTTTAAAGAGTAAAAAGCAGACGTCGGAGAGAGCACCGAACCGATTAGAGAGGAGCGGGAAATCCGAGTTTCCTGATTGGACGAGAGGCCAGCGGATTAGCGGCAAGTTATCTTTGATGTAAGGACAATAAAAAGGGCAGGGAAGGTAGGGGCAGTCAGTCGTGTTCTTCTGGGGTCAAGGATCGGAAGAGTCATCGTGCCTGCTACTGGATCGTCCGTGAGACGAGTCGCAGCGCGGCCAGGCCCCGTTCCCAGCAAGGACTACGTGCAGCCTCGCCTTTCCACGGCTTCCTACTCCTCGGAGTCGAACCGTGAGTACGCAGGAGAGAGGTGAGATTAAGGGGGATATCCTTAGGGAGAGTGATTAGGGAGAGACGGGACAGATTGAGTCCTTGACCACCGGGAGATAGGTTAGACCTGCCCTGCTGGCCCACACTGACAGGTAGTTTAGCTTCGTTATTCGCGGAGAATAAATCGCCAGTAGTCAATAAACCTTGTCGTGTCATCCCTACGAGTGCGGAGAGGAGTGCACGGTGCTGTGAGCCTTCTCGTTGTGGTATCCTGTGTTTGCGCACGAGCGTGTATTTTACCCGCGTGTGTGCGCTCGCCGCTGCGTGTAGCTCGTAGTTAACGTGTACGCGAGGTAGACGGGCATCGTGCACGCGAGATCACCCGTGCCGCTTTTGCTTAACGTGTGCGCGAGGTAGAGGGGCGGCGTGCACGCGAGATTAACTGTGTAGCTCGTGGTTAGCGTGTGCGAGAGGTGCCCGGCGGCGTACCCGCGAGGTTGTTCATACAGCCCTTTAAACCAGCTCCGGGGCACCTCCTCCAATCGGCTGCGCACGTACGAGCGACGCCCCTGCCCTCTGACCCCCGACCCCGGGTCCCGCGCGTGCGATTGGTGCGCGGCGCCGGGCAGGTAGCCATGTCGAATTTTGGTGGCTGCGGGCGCGTGAGTGTGCGCGACTACGTACGGCGTGGATAACGTTTAGAGTAGCACGCGAGGGGGAGTGTGTGCGAATTGATCCCAGGTGGCTACGCGCCAGCCGCGGTTTATGCCCCGAGGGACTGCGGTGAGGGGGGGGGGGGGGTCGGAGGGCAGTAATCCTCCCCCGAGCACGCGAGAGGAGAGCAATGGCTCTCCAGGGAGCAAGGAGTCGGAGGTCAGCCTCCCCGACATCCCCCGCGAATCAACAACATCTCGCTACCCCCCCGGTGCCCCCCAATAACCAAACCAACACTCAACGCGATGCCCCCGATCTCGCGAATCGGCAAACTTCCCCACAGCGCGGCGCCCCCGTCCACGAATCGGCAACTCACACAGAGCCCCCCACCTGCGAATTTGCGACACCTCACATAGCCTGGCACCCCCTCACAATCGTCACACCTTACATAGCACGATGCCCCCCCCCCGCAATCGACACACCACTTTATTTCCCTCGGATTCCTTCCCAGTGCAAGGGAGAGTCCCCCCATACCGGACATAGCTCACGTGATCCGGTCCATGGTGCCGGTCACCCCCGTCTCAGCATGGTCTTGCACCTCCGGAACCCCGAGGGCCAAGAGACGATGGAGATGGAGTCCTCAGCTCAAAGGGCATGGCCCCTCACCGATTAGCAGCACCCACTCAGATCTGATCCCCGAGACCTCACACTTGGCGGTCTCAGTAAGCCTCAGAGACCCGGGTCTGGCGGGGCTTGGTTGACTTTGCCGGCAAGCCAGAGGGCGTGGGTGAGTCCGCTGGTGGTCACTTGTCACCCCGACACTCCCCAGCGATATGGCCTGACCGACCACACATGAAGCACCTGGGCGTGGGTCCCCATGGCAGAGGGAGCTGCCCCCGCCTTGGTATCTCCCGCGGGGATGTTCTTGCCTGCGTCCCCCGGCCCCCCCACCGCCGCCATCATATCTTCCATGCTCCATGCCGCGGCCTCCCGCCTTGCCCGCTGCTGCTTTTCCTCGAAGACCTGTATCTTCCGGGCCACCGTTGAGGATAAAATTTCCGTGCCGACGGCGGAGGGCAAGGCAACGCTCAGCTTTCTTGCCAGCTCCCGCTGCCTT